ACCACAAGATGCTGATGAAAGACTTACCACCTAAAGAGCATTTCTCTGCAGTGACTGAAAAAGTACTAGCTGATGACACTATTTTAAAAGGTGCCAACAGTAGCAGACAGATCGGCTAATACATTTATAGCACAAATGAGTAAATTTTAAGAGGATAAACAAATAAGTGCATTGTTCAGACTGGTGCAAAATAACAAATTTTAAATTTTCACCTAATAATAAATATTTATCCTGTAGCTGTCAGAAAAAAAAAAAAAAAAACAAACAACACAGAGAACAATCATGGTTGTCAGTATCAAGACAAAAGTTTGTGTGGTAATGCATGTTCTGCTTCCTGCCAAGGCTTGTCAGAGCAACCATTCTCTGAAAGATGCAGGACAAGTGGTACAACCTGTCAGCAGTATTCTGCACTACTCTGGCTTAGAAGAACAGTATAATACAGTCCATTTCCAGCAGTAAAGGAGGAGCATCAGATGTGAACTTCTGGAGGCCCCCTCTCACAACATGACACCAAATCTTGGCTTCAGGCAGGCATATTTTCCCACAAATACGCACACAACTCTATTGCAAACGCTACCTAAACAGCTATTTTGTGTCTCGTTTTAAAAAGGCAGCGACCTAGATGGACATTCTACGAACATATCTGACATTTTTAAGGCCTGTAGAGCCACACCATAATAGATGTCCACACTGTTTCTCTACGTCCTTCCAGTATTTGTTTAGGTATGACATTTGATTCTTCTCCATGCAATAACCGACACCCTGCCAGAACCATTTCTTTGGGAGCAGGGTAACAACAATATCTGTAGAACTGTTTCTCTAGAAGCACTTTCTACACTTTCTCTAAGTGATAGGCCATATTTCACCAGCCACTGCAGTAAGGCCATAGTGTTCCCAGACATCAGTCTATCCACCTCCCACCTTATCCAGTGGCTAGCTTATGCTAGTACCCACCTTTACTACTAGACACTTTATAGTACCCCAAATGCTCCCTGTTGAAACCAGCTTCATGATCAGTATTAAGGGGAAAAAAAAAAAAAAAAACAAAACAGAAAAAAATTTTATCATAAACCAGGAAAGAGTCCTAAGTGTAACCAAAAAAGCATCACAAACATCAGTGTAAAATACTTTAAATTCATGTATGACTGCCTTATTTTTGTGTTATTTAACTATAATATAAAGGATAAATAATGAACTTTTAATATTTAGAAGTCATTAAAACAGCTCTGTACTAGACATGATTCCCATTCATTACTCAGCTAAGATGAATGAAAGAAATGTTATCACTTTTTTGTGAAACATAAACAAGGTATTCATCAAAGTCATTATGTTGACACTGAAATCACAAATACATAGCAAAAGGTCTGATCCTGCCATCAGACTTGTATAGGTGGAAGTTTGATTTCTGGTCATTCCTATTAGTGAAAAGATCTTAGACAGTTATCTGAATATTTGGAAAAATAATTAAGGGAATACAGAGTTGACCTCAAATTAACAGCAAAATTCCCACTATTATCCCTAATGTCAGGTTTTAACCCATATAAGTGGATTTGAATGCACCGAGATAACAGCTCCATAAATATTGATATCCTTATGAAGTGGAAAGAAAGAGTTTGAACTTTCTCTGCTAAGTTTGCCTGTGCACAGAGGTCTTCTATAATATAAATTTAAATACACAATCTGTTTTATAATGTTTTCCATCATCTCTCTTCTCCATATGTTCTCCCACTAGGAATCTAATGAGTTCTACATATGAGGGATGACAAGGGAATATGCCTGAGAAATAATTCCAGCAATTATGGCATATGGAGGCATTGTTTTTGAGTCACTTTTGCCATGAACATTAGGCAGAGCATCTGGGACCAAATTCTGTCTACCTGCCTATGGACATTAGCAAAATCATCATCTCCCATTTGTAAATTCTGCTGAAGTAATCTGCCATACAGAGAGGACCATTTCATCAGCTTTATGATCAGAGAGCATACTGAAACACAGTCCATTTATAGCTAGGAAAAAATGCTTCTCTTTAGAAAGAATAGTTTAAACTGGAAACTATTTTAAGATAAAATCATAGAAACACATCTCCCTCTCTTCTCTCCAAGAACTGCTAAGAACCTGTGTTCAGTTCCAAGCCACTATGTATTAAAAATCTTTTCTCATCACTACTAAAGTTTTGTAAGAACTGTCTGAATCCCAGCAAAAGAGAAACTGACCAAAGAAAAGTATAAAGAACAACAACAAAAAAGAGACACAAACTCTAAATCAGTAATAGGAAGGGTTATATTCTCCACGCCCAAATAGGACAAGGTATCCATAATTAATTATAAAGAGAAAAACAGACTAAAAAAATTCCTTTATGTGAGGACATAGTGACTAGAATAAGTAGCATATATTTTGTAAGTTCTGGATATTAGATTTAAATACTAATATATAAGGCTGGAGAATTCAAGTACAGTTTCTGTCATGTTTGTTATGAGAGTAAGAAGAAAAGAGTTCAAGAGATTCAACTCATACGCTGATAGGGGGTAAATTTTCAACTCTACATATTCCTCATACTCAAGAAAAATTTCTCAGCAACGTGAGTAACATAAGCATTTTTATATGCTTTTTTCCCAACTGTGCAGTTGAAGCAGTGAAAGCAAAGCCATAAATCCCAAACTACAGTGTTGCTAGGTTATTTCAGTGTTTTAGGGGAGGAAACAAGAATGTCCCTGCTGTTATAGATGATCTAAACCTAATTTTACATATATGAATGTAAACATAATTTACAGAGCTAATACAGAACTTTTACAGTTAGGGTTACATATAAGCAATAATATTTCTATTATACAAACTATTTATTTAATTCACTTGGGTAATAAATTGGTTTTCAGAACTGAAAGCCAGATATATTTCAAGTCTTTCAATCATTTTTGATTGAAAAATAATATCGATGGAATTAGTGATATTTAATCAAGAGAATCTACTACCAAGGAATAAATGGATATCACTTCCCATTGCCACACAGAATTACCTGTATGCTAGCAAGGAGGGGGTGAAAATAAAGCTCAGCTTCAGGATGCTGACTGTACCCCAGTGCTCACATGCTGGATTCACTTCCCTAGAACCTGCACCTCTGGCTGTGAAACCATACTACAATGGTTTTGACTTGTCTGGCATCCCACTCACAGTAGTCTGAGAAAGAACTGTCATTCCCTTATACAAGAGTTTCCCATGTCACCATTAGTGGCCCTTCTTCCAGACGGTCTTATGTTACTTTTAGATTAAGAGACATTGACAACACTTGTAATCCTGTAAATGTGTCAAAAAAAAAGTTGTGGGAAATGCAACCTTTTCATATACTACCTCTTCTAATTACCACATAAGCAGTACAGATGAATACAGAAGATACAAAAACAACTAAAATATGTGCAGTGACTCTCTGTAAAGTGATATCAGAAAGTTACATAACCTCTTCCAGAAACAAGATCAAAAATGTCATCTGGAAATATTTTCTCATTCTGTGAAAGAATACACAGAAAAGATTATTAGGTTACAAACTGCACTATAAAGACAAACAAAGTGATTAGGTAATTCTTCTTATTCAATTTAATACCACTGAATCCTTGAAAAATCATTTAATACCATGGGATTTTTCAGGTGTGACATTTTTTGACACAGACTTATCTAACTATTGGCAAAAAGAAACTAGAGATTACGGCAACACTTCTTGTACAAACCAAATCTGTACTCCCTTTCCAATATCCTTGCCAATATCTTGGTTAACCGCAGATGTGTAAAATTCAAGGTATGTAGGAGGAGGCAGTAAATCAACAGATAAGGATGCCAATCACATATTTCTGTTTTGTTTTCGTAGACTTTCCTGGAAGAGTATAAAAACCAGCTGTACAATTATAATGAGCAAAAATTCCCTGCATATATTTTTATGAAACATAACAAAATAAAAGTCTTTATAGCAGATTTTTAATTTCAAAACAAATGTATCTGATGCACTCTGTGTTGCAGTGTTTTTTTAAAGGTCAGCATTCACTTATGATCAATAAACCAGATATCACCAAGATCTAGACTTGAATGTTTTTTAAGCTTTATTTTAGATTTATTAGATCTGAATTAAATTTTTTTTCATTAAAATTCATAACAGGATTTCCTTTATGTTTTGTTGAACTGATCCAAGATATTCAATGAGAAAGCAGTGATTTTTCTTTCCCTCTCAATGCACTGCCACTTAGAACTGTGGAACAGGAATGCATATTCTGCAGTTCAGAGTTCCTGATGGTTACTGAATTCAAAGGGTAACATGGATTTCCCTCTGCTCATAACGACTGATCATTTTTGTAAACACATGAAATAATCTAGAAAGTAGTATATAACGAATAAACGAGTAATTAAAGCAAGAATCATCCTCACATGCCTGCAATATGAATGCCCGTGGCTTATCCAGTCACCTGTACTACATTTTCAAAGGCAGCACTAAACCAGCACTGTGGATAGCTGAACTGTGGTTCCCAGTTTGCTTCTAGGTGCACAGAGTTCACTGTCAAATTGGATTTTTTTTCCCTTTCTTTTAAACAGTTCAACAAATTAACCTGAAATATTACTTTTTCAGGGATGTCTAGCATCCATGTCCTATTGCTTTTTAAGATGTCTAAATGATAATTTTTCAGGATTCACATTTTGTGAAGAAAAAAAAATTTTTATTCCATCTGACCTGAAGACAACAGGCCAGTACACCCACCAGAATTTGCCATAACAAGGCTAGAACAGTTGTGTTAGATATCAGTTTCCTTTCAAAAAGGACCTCTTAATGTGGTAGGAGATATTCCCTGCTCTACTGAAGAAATATTACGCTTGGGATTCTTATTCAAGAAAAAATTATTTTGTTCCATGGATAAACAGAATAGATCTCCAATGTGCACATCCATACAGGGAACTCTATTTTATATTACAATTTTATTCACTTGCTATGAATAGTCACAACATTAATTACTGCAGATAATCTATTCAATATATTTGAAAATCCATATATTTTATTTATTGATATGCATGTGTTACACTTCTATATAATACAGTACTTTCAGTATTGGTTTAAGAACAAGGAAACAAAGAAAACATATAGTTAGAAGCATGATATAGATTTTTGGCCAAAGAGAGGCCATATTCAGAGTCTACAAAACAGCACATTTATATTTTGCACTGTCCCAGATGATCTCTTTAAGATGCTACCTTCTGTCCTGAACTTGTTAGCACAAATCCATACAATACTAATCCATCCTAAAATACTGAGATACCTAGTTGCTGCTACAGTTTATTCTAATTAAATTTTAATCAGAAAATAAGATCTTTTCCTGCCAACAATTTTTTATTACTTCTCAGCAGAATGATAGAATATACTTCTCAATTTTATTCCCAACAGCCATTTATTTTATTTAAGCTCTCCTGTGCAATAATACAGCAGAGGTAATGAAATGGTTTTGGAACAGCAGGGGCTACTGTGACAGGCAGAGAACTCCAGGGTGTTCATCTATCATGGAACCTAATATATAACTAAACTAGCCATGTCAATGGCTTGTAATGATAAAATATTTTCCCTCTTCTGTCTTGTTTTGGTTTTTTTGTCTTTTGGGGTTTTTTGTTTGTTTGTTTGTTTTGTGGGGTTTTTTTGGTTGTTTTTTTTTGTGAGTCTGGTAACCACACATAACCTTACACCTACGTACTTTTTACTACCATTGTGTATGTGGCTTTCATGTCAGTTCACCAAAGCATAAAGTCAGAATTCCCTTACCCTCTCTGGTCAGCTTCTTTATGCAGTGTTTCTAAAAGGAACTACCAAATTTCTGTTGTATCAACATTACAGATGGTACAATATATATTAAATGGAGTATAAAATTATACATTCTGTAATAACTTAGAAAAAAGCTCAGAGATGCTTAAGGCCTTTAAATATTGAGGATTTTTTTCATGTAACAGCACATCACAAAGTTAAAAAAAATTGCTACCAAAAAAAAAAAAAAAATTTTTGGAAAGGATCAGATCTGAATTGGATGACTGTAAGCAAGCAAAATACCCATGAAGTGTAAATCTGGGTGGGCACTAGGACTTTTTTCCTTTACAGCAAACAGACTGAGCAGACATCTACATAAGCATCCATCAGTACTTAGGTTCAAGCAAGAGATTTTATTTTTTTAATAAAAAGACAAAAATTCTGAATGATTACCACCCAATTTCATAATTGCAAAACTCATTTACATCCCTGCCTACCCTGACAAAAAAAAGATAAAATACCATCACTGACTGCTTACCATGAACTTAAATCAATTAAAGGTTAGGAAAGTAAAGTACATATTGGGAACACCCATCTCCTTCAAACTAAATGGAAATGTATATCTTAGAGGTATAAAATGCTTTATAATGGAGGTGGTAATTGAGTTTTGACCACTACTTTTTTAACTGTTAAGCTGCAGTGGCTGATTAGCCTTAGGGAAACATGTCAACCTGACTATACAATCTAATGTGACTGGTGTATTCAGATAACTATTACTTGTCAACAATAATTATTAACAATGGATATATAATTCCATTCCTATAACAAAAGCAACTTCAAGATGTTGAAATATGTATCTTTCAGAGCTGCAAGATTAGAACACAAATAAAAATGTCTAAAACTGCGCCATGCCAGAGGATCATTTCTGCAACAGAAATTTAATTAAAGCAATGTGCAGTACCACCAGCAATCTGAAAGTGGACCAGGGATCATTTTAGAGGGAAGGATCCAAAACATTCTGGAGGTTGACTTCATCAAGATGAAAAGCCACTGGTCTGCAATGGAGAATCCAAGTTTGCTGCTTTTCTGCACCTTTAGAGTATCAACACATGATTACAGCTGCAAATTCCTCAGCAAGTGCAATTTTACAAGTGCACACAGTTCAATCAGTTGAAATCTTTGTGACACAGAAGTTCAAAATGACTTTCCAGTAGTTTTGATCTCAAGGCTGTTGCTGATTAGAAGACAGATTCTCATTGAAACAATTGATTCTGAAGAATACACCCCAGCAGTATAAAATTTCACTTCAAGGATTGCCTGGAGGAATGAAATTCCCACGTGTTGTATTTAATTTTATCAGCCTTGATACTGACTTGATTTGTCTTTAGCTATCAGGTTACCTGTAAAGAAAAAAGAAAATCAGAAAATCAAAACTAGACATAGTGAATCTACTTCTGAAGTACTGGAAAATGAGGTTGAAATGTAAGATCTCTGTCCAGCAAAGCGCTTTCAATTGTTTTTAAAATAGGTGAATAATCACAAATGGTATTAGATGGCATTGCTCCCCAACTTAAATTGTGTGTTTAAGTGTTTTGTCAGAATTGGATCTGACAAGGAGAAATCAAAATGTGACCACGCCTAAAAATATAATAAAAAAATGTAAAGTTCACAAATTACCAACCCACAAATTCTTGTTTTCTGTTATTCTCTTTTTTATTGTTAAAAATTTTATATAGTAACAACTATGCTTTTAAAAATGTTAGCTATTGCATATAACAGTGGCTGATACTGGAGATGTATTCTTCCATTCTTTGCATGCTTCTTTATAGGACAATCATAGAATCATTTAGGTTCTAAAAGGCAATGTCCTGTTAAAGGTTAAATGCATCTCAGCAAATAAATACTTAGGGGAGAAATACTTAGTGGAGAAACAGGACAAAAATCATTCATACATTAACGAGAGAGAGAGATTCTGTTATTCACACAGTACAAAATTACCAAGGATTTGATTTATAGTGGTTTCACTCAGCCTAACATGAAACAAGAGTGAAACAGAAGGACCACAGAGAAAGAGTGGGAGACAAAGCATTTCACAGTAATTGGATTTTCCCTCTGTCTGATTTGGATTTTAAAAACTAAAAGAAAAAAACAACTGTCATATCAAAGAAATGTAACTTTGAGGAATATTTCTGCTGTGTCAGTGGATACAATTAATCACCATGTAACATTTTAATATCAAATTGTGTCATGTGTCAACTCCCCAACTCTTGAGGAACAACTCATTGGAATGGTCACAACAACACTTTATGACATCGAGGGGCATATGCTTCTCATTTTGATCACAGAGAGAAGGGTCATGCTCCTTAATGATGAAACATTCTTTTGCCCTCAGCAAAACTGTTTGCATACAGCTCTTGTCAGCTCTGCAGAGCAAAAATATAGAACAGAATACTAAAAAGACTGTTTGAGGAGTTCATTGCTTCAGTTTGCCTTCTCCACCAAGTTGTTTCTAGGAACTACACTTAAGGCAATAACAAAATCGTGCTTTCTGATTTTTATGATACATGGGCTAATTTATTAAACTGCTTTTATTTTGCTTTTTTCTTGTTGTTGGAAACAGCCTCATGTGTCCCCTTCTACAGTGGAAGATTGCCAAAAAAAAAAATAAAGAATTAATTTAAAAGTCAGGCTACATATTTCAGTGTCCTGCACCAAAGCTCAAAAGGCTGATGCAGCATCTTATTGTTATTTATGTTTTGCATTATTGTAACAAGCTGGAATTTTACTCATGGAATCAGGTGCCACTGAGCTACATAATGTAAAATACACATCTTCTGATCTTATCCACAGGTGGATTTTCATTAGCTTCACTTGTAATACATGTCTATCTCTATCTACCTATCAATCTATCAATCAATCAATCTATCTATCTATCTATCTATCTATCTATCTATCTATCTATCTATCCAGTAAAGAGGCACTAAGGCGAATAAGGGACAGGAGCTTCTTCATATGAGGAAAGGCTGAGAGCACTGGCACTGTTCAACCAGGAGAAGAAGAGGCTCGGGGGGATCTCATCAATGTGTACAAACACAAGAAGGGAGAGTGCTAAGAAAATGGAGCCACACTGTTTTCAAGTGGTGCTTCGTGGCGGGAGAAGGGGCAATGAGAACAAACCAAAACACAGGAGATTCACCTCAGGAAAAACTTTTTTACTGTGAGCGTTACTGAGTACTAGCACAGGTTGCCCAGGGAGGTTCTCCATCCTTGAAGACATTCAAAAGCTGTCTGGTCCTGGGCAGCTGGCTCTAGGTGGCTCTGCTTGGGTAAGGGGATTGGACTTCCAGAGTTCCCTTCCAAACTCATTATCCTGTGATGTATTTTTTCTATTACATCCAGCTCTGCCAGTGCATTGGCTAAGGTGATAAACTGCAGCTAGCAAAAAGAGTATTTTTACACATACATGATTGCTCAGTTACAGGGCTGCTTGGAGGTGCAAATGTGTTCTCTTCAGTCACAAAGAAACTCAGTAAAATCATAATCTCCAGATCTATTTGCTCCCCCGTCTAGCTCTACAACACTGTGGTCAAAATATCACTATAAAAGCAATATACACTGTCACACAGATTAAATAGGTGATATAAACAAGAAAAAATCTGATAGCCATTCAAATCTCTGCATTATAACAGGTGGCGAATCATATACAAAGGTCATTTTGCTTATACAGACTGTACAGGAAGTTAGGTTGCGCTGCATGTTCTTAGTTTTTACATTACGTGATTGGAGTTTTTAACTGCTTTCCCTTGACAGAATTTTTATTATTCCACATCCTTTTTTTTTTTTTTGTTCTGTTAACCACCAGGTCACACAATGCTACTCCAAGTAACACATACAGTGGTCCACATTTGCCTCTAAGTGAGATGGTAATGCTTGTTATGTGCAAGCACAGATTACACATTAACATTAATGGAAGTTATATATTCATACACCATACACATTAGGGAGTGAATAAACCTCTTGGTTGGTAAAGGCACTTTCATAAAGAAGCAATAAAATTTTAGCTAATACCTAGTGATGGTATTCCCAGAAATGCTTAATTTTGGATATAGTAAAAGCTATTTGGTTTAAGTGTCTGGGAAGTAAGGTAGTAAGGTACTGTGCCAAAGGCCTTTATAGAAAAGGGGGACCAATAACAGTATGTGTCTGATCTTTAAAATGCTAAGAAAACAGTAACACCCTGAATACGTGCAAATCAAGTCTATTCAAGTTTTCAGTTAATAATTATTATATATGGAGAATTAACAACACAAATGAAAAAAGTACATGAAACCTAGGTGTTGATTTGAATTAATCTGTTCATTTTTGGAACATAATTATTCCATTTATGCTAATAAAATTTTTCACATAGTTGTTATATCATAAATACACTGCATTAGACTCTCTTCACTTTCTTGTCCTAAATGTGTAATTAAACCATAATTACTCTGCAGTTGCAGACTTTTTAATTTCAATTAGTAAGTGGTTGCTGTAAATTGGCTGTAATTGTATGTGAACTCACTTTTTTATTTTAACTCAGCAATATATATGCATATAAATGCAGCTGAAGTTTTCTACATTCTTCTGCTCACAAAATATTCAGAACAAACTCAGTCTTTGGGTAGAATATTTTTGCCAGGGTAACCCAGAATGGAGAGGAGATGAAAAGACCTCAAGGCATCACATTAGAAAAGCTACCAGCTCAAGAAATTTTTTTGGACAGCTTACATTCAAATGCTACTCACAGTGGGTGAAAAATGTCCTCACTTGTGAAATCCACACAGTGGATGAATACATGAGACAATACTGTCTATTTCATAAGAATAGATTCCCAATAAAAATCCAGACAAGTACTTTTACTCAAGACTTCCTTCTTCCTAAGAAGAGGAAGGGAGATAAAATAAAGACTATAGGATGTAAAGAATGGCTGAGTGTATATTCCCTGAATAGTAAAACTTTTCCCTACTTTGATGCACTGAAGCATCAAAGTTATGGAACCACAATTAGGTATAGCACAAATCTTCTGTTTCTTCAGAGAAACAAATATATCACTAATAGTTTGCTAACTACAGAAGAGTTTATACATGTAAATGAGGCACATAATTAATTATTATTTTAAATAGTGTTAGGAGAAAATAGATACCAATATATGGTATATTGAAATTAAGCGTGTGCTATAACATTTCATAACACAACTTTGTACATTACAACTTTTTGACTGGCAGTTCTTTGAATTTTTTCTATGTTTATTGTAAACCATACATAAAATCCACATCGAAAACTGGCTCTTGAGTTTGCAAAGTCAAGCACTTGAACATTAGCAAATTGCCTTTTTATGTGTGCCCTTGCAACTGCAATTCTATCTCTTTTCCATCATGCACAGTAAAGAGAATTTAGTAGGCAAGAAGATTTGGAGGGAAGTCTGTAACAATGTCATCAGGACTATGTATCAATGAAAATGCAGAAAGGGGCAAATTTTTAAGCCAATGTTTCATCACTCCATAGATGAGAGGAATGATGGACTCTCTGTTCAAGGTTTTCTCCAAAGAAACAGAAAGAACTTAATACTTAGAGGTTTTCTTTCTAACAAGAACTGTTCCATCAACCATATGTTGTGTGTTCATAGCCTGTGTCATCTGAGCATACTCAAGCTATCTTTTTCTCTTTTTTTCTTTCCTGAGACACATAAAACAGAGAAAGGAAATTATTTTTTGTAAAAGCAATTAATAGCTCACCCTGAGCTAAGGGGAATTTCATGAGACAAAGAAAAGCCATCTTGGCACCCCTAGCATTCTTCTCTAAAATATTAAAGACCTGTGGGAAACAAAAATGGTATGGAGATTTCAATCAAAATTAAGAAGAGTCTCACAAATTTATTTAATGAACAACATGAGATAAGCTAAGTACAGGGAATACCACATGAATCCCTTAAGTAAGTGCTTAAGGAAAGAGGCCTAAGAAATGGCTTGAAGATATGCCTAGCTGTGGATTGTCCTCTAAGTCATAGAGATAAGACAGAGATCCCATACCAAAACAGCCTTATTTTTATGCAGTACATTTCCATCCATTTTGTGTCCTTATTGCTGTATTTTTTCTTGTAATGTATGTAAAAGACCACAAAAAATTAATATAATGGTCAACAAAGTGATTCTTTAGCAAATGGAATGAACTTGAGAGGGCTATATCAGTCATATTTTTTCATAACATCAATAACTTTGTTTTGGTAGTGAAAACTTAACACAAATATTACCATGCAGAAACAGAAGGGCCCATATAACCAGAAACAAACATCTGCCAATGCTTTTTTTTTCCCCTTATGCCCTCTGAGAATGAGGTTGACGTTGGAAATGAATCTTTTGAACAGATGGAAGCACACTATTTCCTGGAATTCCAAAATTCATACACTATTTTTGCCATGCACTATCATTCACACGTGGCTTATGAAAACAAATGACAGAGTGCATTGCCACTTGTGCATTTACGTTCGATGAAACCGCGTAACTTATAATCTTGGAAAATGCTTCTGTTCTAACACTACCATCTTGTACCAGTGATACTCAAAAGTACTTTGCAAATGTTAACAAAGACAGGTTCACAATTTTCTGGAGAATAGTGTAATTTATTTTGTAATGAATTAGGGAAACTGGACAAAAAGGTGTTAAGGACTTTTCTGCAATAGGGTTCCTATACGCATACACACTTAACAGTAGGTAGGTGTAGATTTGGGTGTTCATGCTAGACAACTAAGCTTCCAGAGGAACAAGGAACCATTTCAAAAGACTGAGAAATATTAAGGTGACCCAAGCCCATTTCAAGGGACCTCCAGTAGAGAACCGTGAATTAGGAAACAGGCTTTCCTGTTTCCTTACTGGTTTCAGTATTACAGATGGCTGTTTAACTTGGTCTCGGGACAAAAGGCAAAATTTGAGTGATTTGTGAGCAGTCTGGAAAACAGATCTGTTGTTTTCCCATGAGAGTGACTAACTTGAGTGACTAGGTCTACCTTTGAAAGTACTGAGGGAAGAAAGATATTTTAAGGCGCCGAGAAGCATCTAACTGACACACTGAGGCTGCTTAGGAGCACATTGCAGAGTCTCTCCAGCCACCCTCCTGAAGCTGTGCCTGAATAAGCCACAGTTTCTCAGTATCTGTAGCAAACTGCACAACTACAATGAGGAGTAAGATACAACAGTTCCTGTTAATAATGTGTAAATCTGTATTTGTACACACCTGCTGCTCTGTGAGTAATAAATGAGGGCTGGAACACATTTTCTGGAGTGGTGGGACTCTTTATTCCTCAACGAACGTTCTGGCCCTTCCTTAGAATCCGACCAAGACTAGGATTCATCACAACTAGTGCTCCAACGTGGAGCCAGAATATTTTTTGTGTGGAAAAAACAAATATTGTCATCAGGCACAGCAGAAACCTCCTTTCTCTACTTCTCCATTCGGCCTTGAGGAGTTTTACACGTTTGCCTAAGAAACAAACACATGTCAACTACTACACTGTTATGAAATTAGTTGCAGAAAACAAAACTGGGATAAATAGAATTTTTTTTTAAATTACAAGGAAAAGTACAAAATAACAGGAAGAAACAAATTTCAGAATCAGAGCAAACTGTCTTACAAAAAGTGCATGGTTTTAAAAATACCCAATCATATTCAAATTCAAACTCTTATTTGTCACCAAAAAGCAATAGAAACTGATATATTAGACTCATGTTTGAAAGTATATCAGCAATATTTAAGTATGACAAAACAGTAATTGAAAAGTTCTTCGAGAATAAGTCCATGGATAGACCTGTGATACAGAAAAGAGTCATGAACTCAGAATACAATTCCTTTAAAATGAAAGATATGAGTGTGTTCTTATCATAAATGTTTAAAATAAAAACAAACAGAACCAAAACAAACAGGAAAAAAAACCAAACAAAAAAAACCCTAAAAGTTTAAAGTCTGAACTGAGGAGAACTTTACTAGAGACATTTCTATAGTTAGAAGGTTACAGGAAACACCATAAAAAATAACAGATGACACATTTCAAAAGAAAATATTCAATTCAGACAGATACTTCCTTATCCAGATAGTTGAGGTAGATTTTGGACCTGCTGATAATGATTGCTTCTGAAAAAGATTGCACAGCACCTCAAAAGATCACCAAAATTTCTTTAAGTTTTTTTCTTTAGGGTTTTTAACTTAAATATCATGCTGCAGGATCATTAGAAATATACATTACAAGATTAAACTCATAACTTTAATAACTTCTTGCTTAAATGAAATCTCTACACATTTAAATGCTATGAAAGGAATATGGTTCTGTATTTATATTTCCTTGAACTGGATAGTTTACAAAATAAAATTAATTGGTACAGCTAACTGGGAGAATTGTAATAGTGAATAGCTGATGAAGACATACGAGTTATGTCAAGGCTAAATCCAATTCATCAGTCTTTCCAATGCACTTCATTGTTATTGTCTTCCAAAAGGTTATGCCACTACAATGCACATACCTTAACTTTCTCAATGTTTCTGTAACTCAGCAGAGAAATTAACTTTATGGTAGAATTGTTTTAATTTAACAAAATATTTTCTTTGCAGACAAGAATTTTATATTAAAAGAAAACAAACATAAACCTTATTTTACTTTCTGTAACAGATAATAACTGTAGCAATTCACACAAGGATATATCCTCTTGAGGTTTTTGCAGTGATCGCAACTCCATAGAGGGACTGCAGCATGGCGGCATAAAAGACTGCAAGACAATTAATTAAATAAATGAAATTTACTTCTCTTCTATAACACTTATTCCACCTAATCATCCCACGTGGGAGATAAAACAACCTCCTTCCTTTCTCCGTTTGAGGAAACTGAAGCATAATAAAGAGTCATGCTACACTTTTGACTGTAAGAAAGTAAAAGTAGATGGAGGGATGGGAACAGAGTCTGTCTGGGTTTGGCTTTATCTGACTTCACTTACCTAAAAATAAGCCTACACTTGTTTTGGTTTGGAAAGGAAAACTTATAACAAGTTGTGTTTATATCCTAAATATGAAAAAGCAAAACAAAATAAAAAGAAAAACAAAACCAGCCTTGTTTTAAAACTAGACTGAGGTTTTAAATTACCTTACAGGTATAAAGGATTTTCATATTTTAATACATTTTTCCATAAATTGGGTAAGATTGAACTTCACATTATCCCCACTAAAAAAATCAGGCAGTCTAAATTAATCATGTCTGAGATCTTATACTTCTTCAAATTTTTTGTGGATATTTTTTCCTGGGATTTTGAGTGGAGAGTAATAAGGTATGTGGATAAGATTAAAATAGAAATGTAAATTATTTCCTTACCTGTAATGTTACCTTCTCTATAAGGGTACCTGCTGCTCTGTTAGTGCAGTACTGATGTGTTTTTTGCCTTTGTCCCAAGCTTCAGAGATTCCTCTGGTGATTTTTCCCCACTTGCTTACCAGCTTCCACTGCTGGTATTTTGAGGTAGTACACTCACACTTGGCTCCACGAATACTGCCACAGCTGAGGGAATATAAGACAACTAAAAAACAAGTTAGAAAACAGCAGAGCAATATCCAGGCAGAAAAAAAATTTTTCAAAACAATGAATCAGTCATCAACTTGAAACCTTTGATCGTTTTCCTTTCTCTTTTCATTCATTTAGGATCTCCACATGAAGAAAAGACTTTTCTGTGCTTGGAGAAATTTTAGCCAAAGTAATGGGTGCTGACAGAGTAGTGGGTACCCATTCAGAGAATATAAAATTATTTTAAGGAAATCTAATTTTAACTTTCTCCAGTATGAGTACCCATCATGCCATCACTCCAATACAGATAAGAAAGAGAAGAAAGGTAGCAGATTTGGAGGATTTCAGAAAAATCTCTGTCATCTTTTCTCAATTCTTATTAGAACTGTGAAAAAGGAAGACCCAAGGCCTTTTCCCTTAGAGACTGTAATAGATAAACAATGAGAAGGATTTCTCATTGTCCAGGAAAATAACACACAAAGTGTGCTTCACTAGGAAGTAGTCAAGATTATGGTTGCTTCTCAAATAAAAGTTGTAGTCATCTTGGTCAAAGATGAAAAGAACAACCACTACTATCACTTTAATAAGTAAATGTTTTCTTGCTTGAGCATTATGGAGATGTCCAGGTGAAAGTTACAGGGTCTTACAACTCCTCTGTACTGGGGATCATTTTGAACTCCACAGTACACAGAAAAGAAGTATCCTGTCAAAGGAAAAAATGAATGCTAGAAATTTAGGTAAGAATCTGATGTGCTTTTCAATTTAGCTTGTCTTTCTTAAAGAACCTGTCCAGTTTTTTCATACCTGCATCTTCTCATTATCTTCTAAGTAACATGTGACCCAAGACAAGATAAGTATTAATGAATTGAAGTAGCTAACTGCAGATAGATGCTGGTATTCTAAAATCTCAAGTAATGAAGGAAAGACCAAAAGGCTCTGAAGAGGTCGTTGCCTTCAAATATCAGGAATGTTCAGTATCAATTATGTGCTTTAAGGTTGAGAGAAAGAAAAAGGACTCTGACAATTTCTTGAATGACCATCCAAAAAGAAATTAGCTTCCCAAGTAATAAGCTTCAAATTTGCCAAGGTGCATTCTAGAACAAAGTCTCCTCTTCCTTTTTTTGTACTTCGAGGATGATGAAAAATAATTATTAGCAAGTGGAACTGGAATGATGCCTTGAAGATGATAAATTTGCATTTTCCAATGTCACTCTGAAAAGATGACAAATAGGCAGGATAGAGAGATCTCCAGATTCTAGAAGAACTAATCTGACTTTGCAGTGTATTTGCCTCAGTTAGAGACAGCAGGAGCAGAGATAAAGTCATTTGGTCATCCTTTGGCAGGGACATGTTCCTAAGCCACAAAGATGGAATTCAGGATGAAGAAACAAGTTCTTCTGGATGGCATCAGTAATATATCGTCTGGTGTTCTTGAATCTGAAGAGACAAACTGTTTTGGACCTCTTAAAATACACAATGCCACTAAAATGCTCAGATCTTCTATTACTACTGTGTTTGTAGATGCATGTTGGCTAGACACAACCCACTTTTTCCTTGAGATCATATCATTCTTCATAAACTGGAGACACACTTCTCTTCAGTCTCTCCAATTCAATCCTACAGGTTGCATCAAAAGAATAAGCTATGATAAACTGGATATTTTGTAGCTTTATCCAGAATCTGCACTTCAGAGGTGCATGGCATTTATCACTACAGATATGGAAGGGAATGAATGAGAGTCAGAACTGTAAGATCTGAGAAGGAATCATTGGTGTATACTAATAATGCAGTAGAAGAAAACTCAGAGTCCATTTTATAGAACACAGAAAGTCCTTTGGAGTCTGTTCTCCACAGCAATAGTGGCTTTCCTGAAATCTGACCTGGTGTTCACTGAGGTGGAAGGAGTAGTAAACTCCAAGCCATGAAAAAAAATTGCCAATTTTGAAATTCTTATGTAAATTAATTCTATCTTGGTCATCTTCTTTATTAATTTAGTTGTAGACATAAATCTTCCACTTATTCCTGCCTTAAATTTTCCTTCATTCTGAAGGGTTCTCAGATAGGATAGGACTACCTTCATTATTCTTATTGAGAAATATGTAAGATTTACAACCATGCTTACTTTGTTCTGCAAGGGAATAATATCTAAACAATCTGATTTCAACTTGTTTGAGAGTTGTTCACTCCTCCCACTGTGTATACTCGGAATTATCTGTATGGCTGACTCTCCACTTCATATTGTTTATTACCCATTTCCTTCCCTATTAGAAGGCAGAAAAGCAGAGCTGTGACAGGGCAGGAGTTTTGATATTTTCTATAATCAGTCCTAATGAATAAGGAAATAACTCAAGAAAACTATGTTATTTTGGAGAATTGAAGGTATTACATTTTGAACAATTGGTATTACATTTTGAACAATTGGGAGTGCTTTTGCACTCCCTCCTATCACTTCTACAACTAAGCAGTGATGCAGAGTTTCTGAAGCCTGTGCCAAATACCCAGGGAAAAAGGCAAGAGTTCTGCCTGCAGCTATTTAGGTAGCAGATTATGTGAGGTTTCAGAACACCCCTTTCCCTCTGAGGTGTAATGTATCATTGTGACTTGCAGAAATGATACAAAGAAGCCCCTACAGACTACAAAGGAGGGTGAGACAAGGAAGAAGCATTAGTTTTAGAGCATGCCAGTATGACTCACACAATACTGGCATATGAATATCATCTTTCTGTATGGTAATTCCTGATGTAGTAGAAACTGACAATTTTCCAAGAAAATTTAAAAGGACTACTAGATATTCAAAGAGCTCTTGCACAGCTGTGAATGTCAAAGAGACTGGCAGAATGAAGCTGCAAATGAGTGGAAACATCTTTGATTTTGGTGTCAGGACGCTGGAAAAGCAGAACTTCATGGAGAAGTGCAGAAAACCAGTCATTAACAAACAGCCTTAAGAACTCATTTTTATTTTCCATCAGAGGTACAAAATTATTCTTCAGACATGAAGAATACGCCAGCAAAGGACAAGGGGGAAAAAAGAATAAGAAAAATAAATCACAAGTTGAATCTTTTGGGACAAAGGCAGAAAACCTCTCGGCTAGACAGGTGAATTGTAGGGTTCGCACATGGAAGTAATATTTGCAAAAATCACTAATTATTAATTAATGACATGCAACTGAAATCTATTTGCATTTTTCTTTAAATATTGTAGAAATAATTTCCCGTTATTTCAGAGTAATACTATCAATGTTCAGGTTCTGTAGATGATAAAAGGATGTTTTACAGTGGATCCTAGATACAGTCTTACCTTAGGACAAACTATTCCACAATAAAAATATATAAATTAGAGCATCACACTGCAAGTGTGATGAAGGGATTGCAGAAGATTTCATTTCTCATTATTTGTACAGTATGTCTATCACAAAAAATTTAGATGACCCCTTCTGCATAGCCAGAGGCAAGACTCCCCCCTCACAGGGACATTAGCAAGGCAATGTATCATCAGTCTCCCTCTTTCCAAAAGAGCTGTATCAATGAATATTGCCTTTAACCCATTCTCGCTTTAGATGTTCCTCACTTTTGTTCTTAATTTCAGTATCCAAAAGACTCAAAATCAGAACAGAACTAAACAAAATTTGAGTGAAAATGTCTTGGGAGTTGAATGTTTGGATTATCTTCATCTGCCCAACAAGTTTTACTGACCTTTCAGTCTCTGACTTTGCTTATAACATTTCACATCACAACACTCATTCCTATAATTCTTTATACCATAATTAGTCTTTTGTGGGTATTTTAGAGTATATTTGCTTTTGGGGAAAGGACCATGACTTGTCTAGATTTCTGTGACTGCAAAAATGAACATCATCAGGCTGTAGGCCTAGACTCCTGTCAAATATAGACTTGCAACTTTTCATAGGATAAAACTAGGCATACCAATATTAAAGAAGCAAATTTGGTATATGAAGGTTATTTTTAGGAAAATCAGTGAATTGCATTGCCCTGAATACTGAGGATTCCTCATAACATGTGTTGGCTGGCATGCTAACTATTTTCATCAAAAGATTAGTATTTACATGCCCTAAAAAAATATGAAGCTTCAAAATGAAAGAACTGTAATGCTAGATCAAAACAATAATTACTGATTAATACAAAATCTAGCTCGATCCTAGAAAATATCCTCATGTTTCTATTACCAGCTCATTTGCCCCTTAAAACTTGTATGTATTCTTAGAAAATGTGTAGATACAATTTACTGCTATTTTAATGACAGATTAGATACAGTGGGTCTCTGAGTTAGCAATGAGAAACATGCTGCAACAGCTGCAAACTTCTCCTAGTGACAGATTAGCCAAAGGCATGGAAAGAGTTACCATACCATGGAAAGAGATACATAAAGAGGCTGTCACAAGTGCAATCACTCTTTTCCATGGGTAATATTTTGCTACAGTCTGTGTACTCACTCATATTGTAATCACATAATTTTCATGAACCACAAGGTATTGCTGGTCACTGTATATATGTGCATTACTCCTATAAGTCTTCATCTGAAATTAAGATAGGAGGTGAGGAGTCTATAGACAGAGGCTGTGAAGTGAGACAGTGAAACAGAGCAGTTTTACAGTGAGGTGGTTTCTTCATTGAAATATACACCCCCTTAAATAATATTAGGGAAAGTACTTCCTGTACCTAACACATGGCAGATCATTGATTCATCCTGTAAGTATTTCACATTTCACAGCAGTTAAAACAAAAGGCAAATTGTTTCATGTGATATAAGTTACTAGCAGTTTTACACTGTAAAACGTCATATGCTGCCTTATTAGCACTAACTGACCACAACTACCATACATCCAGCCTATCAGAAACAACCTATACATGACATTTGTATGATGAATTTCTGTTTTTCTCCAATTACATATCATTACTACTGCTTTTTCTGAAAAGCCTGGAGGAGGAAGAAGAACAGATATGAGGGAAGAAGCTACTACAATGGTGATATTTCTTTTCATCTTTGGCAGAAAAAAATTAATACTTGTTCCATTTTCTTCCCCTCTGCTTCTGCTTAAAGAGCCTATGCATGTGTTCCTCATCTGGAGAAGTACAGATCAACAACTAACATCGCTGCATTGCCAACACTAGGTCAGGCTCAGTTACAAGAAAAATGCCAGTTTCTTCTCATACCTAGGGACATACTTTAGCTCTTTTGTATTACACTGTCTTTCTCAAGCATCAGTTATGACAGCACTGGTGGTAGTTGAGTCACCACTTAATGCTGCCTTTTGATATTGGGAATCTGAGAAGCCCAATGAAAAGCATTACTATGTAAAGGTACCTAACAGAGGTCCTTTTATTCCTTATGCTGAAAGGGTTATGAACAGCATATTTTATAAATTGAAATATAAATAAAATTCTATCACCAGCTGTAATTAATTTAGAAACAACCCAGCATCTCCAAGAGAGAAAGAAGAGATAGGGTAAAAATGTAAGCAGTATTTATAGATAGCAATGAAATTACACTGATTGGGAGCAGTGGGATGAACATACTGAACACAATTTGGCTTCATGTGCAGCCAGTTGGTGTGCTTGGATGGTATACTTTCTCTTCTTCCAAGGATGATATTCAATTTTTACTTTCTTTTAAACTCTGGAAGCCATAATGTAAAATTAAATAAATTAGAATATTACAAATAACTGACTTCAGGCTTTCTCCAATATTGTTTTTGAATGTAGATAAACACTCTCAGTATGGGTTTCTCACCATGCTGGCAATATTTCTGTTCATTTCACACTAGTCATCTATCTCCAGTATTGATTTGGAAAGCAGATTTGGATTTGGCATGTGGATAAATATATTCAATATGGATTTATTTTTGGCTCTGTAATATTTCTCTTTTATTTCTCTCTGCCCTTGTAATATTTATTTTATTTTAGTGCAGTACTCTATTGCTAATATTGGTTTACCATATAGTTACATAGTAATATATTAGATATTGATTTCTTTCTGTTCTGTGCGCTTTTCTCCACATGTTAAAAATATCAGCTAGTTTTCAGAGTGACAATTGCAGTTCCTTCAGCCCATTTTAAAAGTGTGGGTGCTCAGCTATTCCAGTAGCTAGCTGCTCATTTCCAAAAGCTGCCCTTTGTGACCCAGCTGAAAATACTTCTTTCACTTGTCTACAGGAAAACACTGCTCACTTTCACTTTCTAGAGATTTTCAGAGGTTAATAATCAATACCTGCTATGTATCTGACTTTTTCTTTGTTGTTAATTTATAATATTAGTATTAGTGTTTGTATTATACCAACAAGTCAGTGCTAAAAGAACATGCACTGTTGCCAGTTTTTACTGAATAGTATATACTGGACATGCTGCTCATCATAGTATGATTCGCCAGTTTAGCTCACAGCTGTGTATCATCAGAATATGAACATTCTTGAAACTTTGAAAATATTATATTGCACTTGATAGTGGTCAAAATCCAAAGCTTCCCAAATTGACAAAGAATGAAGGGATTTTTATGATCATCTTCCTACTGAGGACCACACCAAAGAGAGTAAATTCTTTAAGCCAGCTGCTTCCTATTCAGCATTAAGTATCTAAATGTCAGGGGCTAATCTAGTCATCGTAGCTTTCTTCTAGGTTACTTGAGAGACATAAGCACCTCCAGAAGACAATTCATCTGAATTATCTTAGAACAAAATTAATTGGCTTCTGGAATTGAACAATTCTCAATACTAAAAAGACAGTCAAGACCTTGGGCTAGTTATCTCACTCTAGAGTCCTAACCCAAGCAAAGTCCAGTAAATTCCACTCCATATATTTTAATCAGAACTTAGTGCTTAGTGTTAAAACTATGCCTCGTTCCACAGGCAGTTCTACCAAATCAAGCTAAAAGCTTGAAGACAAGGTACTATTTCATTACTGCACAGTGGTTCAAAGCTGCACCAGGGAAGGTTTACATTGAATATAAGGAAGCTTTTCCTTACTGAAAGGATGGTCAAACATTGGAACAGGCTTCCTAGAGAGGTGGTCAATACCCCAAGCTTATCAGTTGTTGAAGAGGCATTCGGACAATGCCCCTATTGACATGCTTTAATTTGGTTAGCCCTGAATTGGTCAGGTAGTTGGATTAGATGATCACTGTAGGTTCCTTTCAACTGAAATAGTCTATTCCACACTATACTTTCTCTTATGAAAAATACAAATGTGTATTTCTCTACATCTTCAAAAATATCAGCCCAGAGCCACTTTCCCACTGCCAGGAGCAAGAATACACATCTTTAGTCATGCTGCATCTCCAGGATCTCAAGATGAGACCTGGGATACAGCACTTTACCTTGTTCTTGTGGTCTAGTTTCTGCAGGAAAGACACAGGTTTATGGGCTGCCTAGGAGCCATGATATTGTCCAAGCTAGTCCGAGGGTCGATGCCTGGGGAACTGGGACTGCAGGAGGCATTGCAACATGCACTTTCATACAGTTTACATGTAGCTTCTGGTGCTGATATGCAAAGTCTGCCTCTCTTATAAAGATAATGGGCAATATAATGTTCTTAAAAATACAAGTAAAGCCTGGCATCTGGATCAGCCCTTAGAAAGCCCCTATCCACAGAGAGACCTCTGGTGTGGAATACACCCCATAACTAAAAGAAATATTAAATTATTTCTCCTCAGCTCTTACCTGACTACAAAATACCCAGTCTTTGTAAAGGACTCCTTTGTTTAACACGAACTCATAGCATTTTTTAAATGTCATTGTCAGTTTTATACACAAGACTGCTATATTTTCCCAACTGATGGGAAAATTTCTTTGTTTTAAGTAGACATTTTCCTATATTGAAGGAAAAGAAAGGAAACACAACCAGGAGAGCTTTTTGAATTAAAATAATTATGTTAGAAAGACACTGGAAGAAGAAAGAGTATTTCAAATGTAAAAGAAAAAAATGGATTTTCCCCTTTTTTGAAACACTTTTCTAATCATTTAAAGAAGGTAATGTGACAAAAATTTTGTGTTTATTTATCAAAAATTGAGGCTAGCCATATAAAAAAAATTCAATTGCTTCCTCTAACAACAGTTTCTCAGTCTGGAGGAGAATGCCTAAATGGGCCTGGTAAAATCTCAGCTATGCTCATAATTATTTCATAACTCTTCTAATATGCTTCTGAATATTCTGTTTTGTTGTGGTATAATGCTCAGCAACACAAACACACATTTCTTAATATGAACTCAAAAAAATTTCTGGTTTAGCTAAGTTGTCATTGGCTTTTTTCCCGTCCCTTCCTGCAGGATACATAGACCAAAGTAATCAACTCTAAACCAGCATAAGTTAACTCAGTACTCAGCTTATTCATACACACTTTCTCCCTGTATTCAGTCCTTTTCTGTGGTTAACTGTTAATATCAGCCTTTTCCCACTAACATGCAAACAAATTAGGATAATAATACTTGTTTTTTCAGTCTGAAGAAAATTTCCAAATGAGTTTTCTTAACATCTGAATTCTAGTATTTCTAATTCATTATTCATGTAAGACCTTATTAGATCACTATAGCAGAACAAAATGCAAAACCTTAAGCTGACCATATTTTTAAAAATCCCTTAGTTTTCTCCCATTATTCATTTGACCTTTTTGCCTAATACCATAAGTATTAGGAAGTTGGTATCATCACTTTTTACAATACTATGATTAAATATGCTAAGAGAGGTGGACAAATAAAATACTTTCTTCCTCCACTAGTTTTATCTCTAACATAAAGCTTAACTATTAACAACTGAAGATGCAGAAATATAAGTGCTGCTTTTGAAGTTGGTATTCCATAAAAGAGTAGCTAGTATTTCAGTGGTCAATTGGGTTAGGTTTTTCCCACATGAAGGAGGCTAACTTAAAAAATGCTTGGAGGTGAATATAGACTTTTTTTTGGCTTTTCAGGAAAGTCTTCACAAGGCTTTTCCATAATCCACTTAAATCACCCAAGCAGCTCAGTTCTCTTTGTTTCTTTATAATCACATATGGTTTATTTCATTTTACAGTGAGAAACTTATTATTCATGATTTCTTAATGCTGACTGACTGTAGAGTTATTTTTATTATTCTCCTAAAAGAAAAAAGAAAAGAAAAAAAAAGGAGATTTTGAAACCACAGAGCACTTTAGAATCTTTTATTTATATATATAGATTTCAGGGAGCAGAAAGAGGAGCTAAAAAAATATTGTAGTCACTACATATTAGGGAAAGTTACTTGCCTTTTGATAATAAGCTACTCAACATAAAGAACTACTCGCATTTCCAATAGCAACGTATATTTTTCTGCCCATCAGAAAGATGTTTGCTAAAATCACAGCCCCCTGCATCTGGAAAGACAGAGACCTTCATTCACCTGTCACCTGGTTTCAATGACTTAGACCAATTTTAAATCAGAAATTTGAATTCAAGTTTGCTATTGTCTCAAAACAGCCTTGCAGATATGTGGAAAATGAAGGAAGAAGGGGCACAGCATACCATATCTGGACAAACCAGAAAGCAGAACAAATAGTGGGGCATTTAAGGTGACCTTTTAGTGGTGCTAGGTCTGTAAGCAGGTTATGATAGTCATTATACCGAATCACTGTTTATGATGGCAAATATAAAAAAAGGACTGGCTTTTTCAAAGCATCACTTTTGAAGAGGTATGAAATGAATCCTGAGGCTTGCCCCCACCATGGTGGACAAGAAAATTCCAACTACTTCAAAGAACTAGTCCTACAAATCTACAACAGAGGCATAAGCCCTTGAGGACAACAGCTTTGGTCTTCTGTAGATTCCTAACAATGGACAAAACTTCACAACCTTAACAAATGCAGAAAAACCCATATTCTGATAAATTGTTGAGAAAATTAAGGCATCAAGGTATTTCTAATTCATCTTTCCTCCTTTTGCGACCTCTTTTTTTTCTGCAGAAATGTAATCCAGATCCATATGTTTACTTACCTCTTGTTAAACACTGTCAATAAATATAAAATGGCATGTATTCTGTAACACTAATAGTGGTTAGTGTTTGACAAATTTTAAAACACATACAATTCTTTTTCTATTTCTATTACTATTATTAAATTCTATCTAGTTCCTTCTTGTTATATTATACATGCAGACACATTTTACATGTATATAATCAGTTTTGCATTGGCCTGTACAAAGTCAAGCATTCCAGCAAGGTTATGTTCAGAAGAAACATATTTGAAAGTGGATTCAGGAATGGGATTGTATAACAAACATTTAGAAAGTGTCCTTCCTGCAGAGAATGTCAAAATGTTTTAGAGACTTATACATACAGAAACTGAGACATATGGAGCTCTCTGGGGAACAGAAGGAATACAATTCAATCAGTGCACACTACATATTGCTACAGCCAATGTATACCAGAAATTTAGCATTTATGAAAGGAAGATTTCAATGAAATGACACAGACACTCAAACACTTGCACACAGTAAATACCATGCTAGCAAATTATGGCCTGACATTGCAAACAAGTACTAAATACTTAAAAGAAAAACCAGACATGAGTGTGTGTGGTGGCATGTAGAGGTGAAGGTGTTTATACTTAAACACATGCATGTGTGTCTTCTGAGAGCATTTTAATCTTTCGTATGTTGATGAAGAACTGTGTTGACCTTACTGAGACGCAATGCTGTAGATTTAGGAAGTTTTTGTGTTTACAGCTTATCTGAAGAATTTGTTTTTCTTCTATTTCTTTTAGCCACTAAAAAGCAGAGATGACAGCATGTATACTTTGTTGTCAGGCATTGTATATGATGAATGTTAGATGTATTGCTGTTAATGTAATTTTGAACCAACAATATAAGAAGTGTCAAATGGAGGAAAAGAACTCACTGAAACTCTGTCAAAACTTCTTGGTAAATCCCAGTCATACAAAATGAAAAGAACCGAAAGATCATACTGTAATGACATATCAAATGCTTACCATACTCAGCAGTTTTTATGTAGAAACATGGTATTCCATGTTATTGATAAAAATGCACTTGTTTGCTATCCTGTAAACGAAGGGCTTAGCAAGGTGTACAGACTTTGAGCAAGTTTCAGAACGAGATACATATTAGATTATAATACATTTGATGATTACTTTTAGTTCAAGGGATCAACTCTACTATCCTCAGTGCTTACCTGAGAAGGTCTGGCACACTGCTTACTATGTTCAGGTAATCGAAAAGTATGCTGAGAATAGTGTGCAGGACCAGGAAGTCCAATCCCAGTATGACTCTCTTCCCATGCTTCTTCAGTCTTCTCAGCTCAGGTCTTCAATGTGCACCCAATTTTCTGTGCACCATTTTTTTTTTTTATACTTGTTGGCAACATGTCAGGTTGGTATCATACCTACCCTAGTTGTTTTCACTTTATTCCCAGAGGAACAGCTCCACCCCTTACGATCTGGAAGAACTTTACATTCCTCCCCTTCAAGACATGGTTGCATGTGGCACCACCATTTCTGCTCCACGATTGAAGCTACAAGAAAGGAAAACAAACATATTTGCATGTTGTTGAAATGGACATTTCATTAGGTTATTATGTTGCAATACTTATTTTCCAGAAAAATATTAGAAATATGTTCACTGACAGCTAGTCTGTGATTTTCAGCCACCTAATAAGAAATTAAGTTTCAATTTGCAAAAGGTGCTATGTGCTTCAAAGGCAACCTCTTCATAGCATTTCATTCCAACCTCATTTATTCTTGCTTAGCCAGATTTCAGTGATAAGTAGAATCTCTTCTTTTGCCTGGTCTACTATACAGTCTAGCACAGTCTGATTAACTTTATTCCCCAGCGAGTACATATTTACAGCTTCTCTGACAGCCAACAACATATCAACAGTAAAGAGACAATGTAAAGGGTGAATCCTGCTACTCTTTCAGTGAAAGTAATATGAAAAATCATCTCGTATTTTCCCAAATAAAACATATGAACTTATACCACAATTAAGTAAGACATTAATATTGCACTGTGAATAGGAATAATAGTGTTGGTCTAAAAAGACTAAAAACTGGACAGAATTGCATTGTGTTTCTTTGCTTTTTTTTTTCCTGTATGATAAATATATGAATCAGATATAAGACTGCAGCACATGAAAATTATATGCTCATGTCAATTTTGCATAAATACTTTCAATTAAGTGAATTTCATACAACTCCAAGAGTCCTCTCTTAGATCAAATTTAGCCCCCTCAAGTGGTCTCTTTCACTGTCATCTAATAATTTTGTTTAGTATTTCCGCAGGGCAATAGCAAATAATTAATTCTTCCCATCTTACTTCTGTTCACCTTGGAGATCACCTTCAAAACGCAGAAGCTCTCCTACTCTTATTTTAAATAGGTAACTGTAATGGAGTGGGTCTCATTGATGATGTTAAGCCAGCAAAAACTTCAAGGAACACAAAGAAAGGAAGCAATAGAAGTAGTCGCACCATCAACACAAGAAGGAGCTGCCCGGGTGGTACCTGCTACCTGCCCAGGGAAGCAGGAGCACTTCACCGTCTGTGATCTTTCTTCTATCTTGTTCTTATTGCAACATCTGTGAAGTGCCACCACTTCACAGGTCCCAGTTTTAACATGGTGAGCTATGAAAATAAAAAGATGAGCAATTTGATAACTTTGCAAGGTAGCATCATACTGTTTGGTTTGGTTTTTTTTAATAAGAAATGCATTAAATTTTGTTCTGTAAGGCAATCTGTCATGCATGAAACAAGAATTACAATGATACTAACACTACAATATAAAGTTGATTTCTTTTGTAAAAGTAGTATAACTATCTCAGGCATAAAACACTAGCTAAAGAAGAATGGTTGGACAAGGCTGGATAGAGGATTGCTCCAGTGAAGTGGGAAGCAGAAACACAAAACTAGCCTAGAAACTATATTAATTTCTGGACTTCCATAAACAGCTATGTATCTCTACCAATACTTTTTTTCTTTTTCCCCAAGGGAGAAACTTTGACGTGAAAGTGTATCAATGCTAAAATAACCATACATGCATATGTTTTCAGAATCTATGTCTCCAGGCTTTACGTCCAGAACAGATAGCCTTTGATACGGTATTCCAAAACCTTCCTACAAGTGCACAGAGAACAACTGGCAGGATACAGGGACAGCCCTAAAACAAAATCCAGAAATAATATCTGCTAAGGAATCATATTTTAAATCTTTCTACCTGGTGCTGCAAAGCAAATCTGGGAACATGGGGAACCAAATTTTTCAAACAAGGGAGGCAACGTGACAATTTTCTTTATTCGATATATGTACCTATCACTCCCATTCAATCTGTTGTAACTGATCACCAGAATCATGCTACTGGAGTCCTATGAGAAGACCAATTTGGTAAGAGGGGAACTGCCAAACTACCCTTTCTGGTTCAGCAGCCAGTTACCAAAGGACATGGTTTTCAGAAAAAAGTAATTTTATCTGAACTTTCAGTGGTTACTGATATAAGACCAGATATTTGTGGGGATAGTTCATTCTCATCAGAAGGAAGAGAGAAAAAATATGAACTTTTAGCTGACCTACAACTTTTTTTATGGGGAGGAATACAAACTATCTAAAGCAATATGTGTTTTAACAGTACCTCTAAATCCTCTATTTCTACTTCTGTTTAACTTTTTGTATATTCTGTGCAAAGCATATGTACTGAATGCTTCAGCTACCTTTTATATACCTAGTGTCAAACAATAAATGAGAGCTTCCATGAGGAGAAAATCCTACTAACAGCCTTTCAGGAGCCCGACACTGATCCCTGGATCCACTCAGTTGTTATTGCACAGTGTCAGCTCCTAAAAGGCCTGAGAAAGGAAAACAAACTTGATGTAGGCTATGGACCCCAAGAATGTTCCTAGAGGCAAAAGTCACAGACAGCAATTAGACTCCGTGTCTTCACCAACAAAACATAAACTACTAAACATCTCATTCAGGGAGTTATGCATTTTTCAGTATAACAAATTCCAATGAACCGTCTGTGGTCTTTCTTGTCACTCAATGCATTGTACTGTGTCAGGTTTGATTATACTCCACCATATCATGCTGTGCTACATCTGAAAAGATATAACACAATGCAAACAATTAACCCATGATCCATCATATTTTGATATGCTAAAATGTTGCATTTACATCAGAAATCTAGGAGGAAAGAAAATACTTTTATGCACAAAAACTGCTTTTCTTCAACTTCTAACTATAACTTTTAATTCAACAGAGAATAAGGAAAACAATTCATACTGTCTGTCTGAAATTTTTCCAAACAATTCTACTGGTATACATGCCAATAAAGCAATTTAAATAAACTATTTTTTCCTCAGTAAAACACTTAGAAGGTTTTTTATCTGTGAATAGGGAAAAAAAATATTCTATGATATATTGGGAGTGTATAATATATAGTAGAACAAACACATGCTGCTTTTGTAAGTTCACACTAATTTTTATTTTGATTGGCAATTACACATCTTATACCCACTCATACTAACACAAATTCACTACTTTGTATTTTAGAAAAGGTACATAAAAAACCCAGACACTGAATCTACAAAAGGAAGTAAATCCAGTCATAGGATGAGAACTTCATACCACTTATTTTTCACTAGATTAGTTTTTATTTGTATTCTTTGTATCACTGACCCTGAAATTTTGTCTCCTCACTCTCTTATTGTATAGCTTTACACTGCTCTACTAGGTCTACAGAAATGCCATAATATAACCACTAAGAGAAAATTAAATACAATGTATGCCAATAGCCATTGGGAATGGAAGCCAGTTGAAAGAGCTGTTGTAAAATTCTGTGAGAGAAATGTTAATACTGGAACAAAAGTTTTGAAAGCCTCCTTTGCAGTAATTAGGAGGCATTGTAATACTTCTATGGAAAAAGAGTGTAATTAAATGAAACAGTCACTTACATTCATGTACAATACAGAAAAGCATTTCAAAAAGTGAAAAGTTACATGAAAAATGGAACAGAACAAAAAATAATCATATACTATTAATAGTATTTGGGGAATCTTTAATAAAGCTACTTTGACATTTTCTGGGTATAAAACCAAAACATCCTAGAAAAGTATACAAAGATACTTCAAACACTGAAAAATCTAGGCCAAACATTCTTTAGTTTCTATACCATCTAGAGTATGCAATGAATATTCTTTGAGAGGAAATGTAGGGATTTCAGCTCCTTATGCTTATTAAATCATTGAGTTCCAGTGCCGTAAGTACAGTATCTGTCATATTCATGTGAAATTAAGCTTATATACAGCAGATAAAGTATTTCCCACAACTTAATACAAATTAACCTCATCAAGCCACTGAACCATTCCACAAAAGGAAGATAGTACTTTGGGAGATTCATATTTTGGTTTTGTTTCTTTTTCTCCTAGCACAGACTTCAAAGCATGCTGCTCGTTTTGCAGAAATTTTTTGAGGAACCAAATGCCATTTCTAGAAGCCTACAGAAATTAGTTATTCAAAACCAGTGCAAACACTTAGTCCTGCATTCCCTGTTAATGCAAGTTGTCCTTCCTGCAATCACTGTGAAGGACTGAAGAAAGAGACTCAGAGATCATTATGTGCAAAATTTTCCTGATGATTGTAGATAACATAAGATATGTATAGATTATATTCCAGAGGATGTAACACTGTATTATGAGAGTGGGACTTGGGAAACAGGCACAACCATTTCTCACCCATTAATTATATATTCTGTAATTAACCTGTCACTTTTAAAGCCTTTTTCATGTAGCAAAATCATCAATAGCTATCTCATAAATCAGTATGATATTCGTATGCCAAAAACTTAAGTGGTCATTATCATGTTTCTGGAAAAAGTAAAGCTAAGCAATTATTATTCCTCATTTTACGTAAAACTGTTTCTTCATGGTAGCTTTAAATTTCTTTCCGTCAGGTAAATAAAATTTCAGTCACGTTTGCACAGCTCTTCTGGCACTAAGTTATGGCCCTTACGCCTCTATTTCTTTGGAAAGATTGCTCCGGGCAAGAAGGGAAGTTAGTATTCAAGATTATTATTTTGCAACTCACAAATATGAATGTAAGGTATTTAGTGTAGGTGCAGTGTTATATACAAACCTAGCATTAAATCAAGAAAAGTCTTCTGAATACCATTTCATAGGCTCA